GTGCACACACAATTCCCTTAAGAAATGAGGTAAACAGCTGGACTGTCCCCTACCACAGTCCACCCACTTCAGAGAGGTGTAGTTATACTATAATCTGAGAACACTTGGACCTCACATTAGGAGAAAGGGCTCCATTTGGAATCATAGTATTTTCTTTGTCACTTACTAGGTGTGTTCTTGCCCAACAAATAACTCCCAGAGTCTCATTTTCTCAATCTGCAGAATTAAAATAACCCCAACTGACTTCCTTCCTTCCGTGGTGCTGGGAAATAACAGGGAAGCTTATGATAAAAACACAAAATGTCTACATCGAAGGTCGTGCTTCATCACCACCGTTAGTCCTTGTCGTAGTTCTGTGGTGGCAGCAGTGCCATTAGTATCTGCTGGGTTGTAACTGGACTCAGAGATAATGGGCGTGGTAACTGTTAAGAACCCAGGCCATGGAATTACATAGTCTGAATTCACACCCACCTTCGCCCCCACCTTGTAATTCACATACAACCTGTAGAATGGAAATCATCAAAACCCAGGTTTTGCAAGAAGCATTCCCAATGTGGCACAGGAAGTATTTAGAGCATGTTCTGGAATTGAGTCATGATTAACAAATGGTAACAAATGGTAGTTATCTTTATTATCATAATTATTATTCTTCCTAATAAGAGAAGGTACTCTTTAAGGATGTTCTAACACCTCAAATCTGGAGACTGACTTGACTCTCTAGGGTCCCTCCTTTCCTCAACTGCCCCCCCGCCAGCATGCAAACTATTTCTATCCTTTTCTTGCATGGTAGGGTTTTTGGGGTCCTCATCTAATCCAATCCTCTCATCTGACAAATAGGAAAACTGAGGACTAGAAAGGATGGATCCATAGCCCTTGTTCACAAAACTGAAAGGATGTGGACGAAATGCCAAATCTATTTTGCTCATCTTTTGTTTCCTCCACTGCAACACACTGACTCTTGGAAGGAGTTAATTGAGTTAGTTAACTTCTTAAACATCGTGAAGTTTAGAAAACCTGCCCAAACCCATCTAGAACGTTTTCCTTTCTGACCTTCCCAGGCACCACCCCAGTGAAGCATTTAGAAAAGCAGCACATCCCTATCCTCCTTTGGGGACTAGGGAGGAAATATAGAGGGAGAGAAGAAATAAGAAAAATAGAGAAGGGAAAGGGTAGGAGAGAACAGGGTGGAAGAAAGAAGGGAGGGAGGAAGAAATTCCCCTGTGGCAGGCCCGGTGCTTGGCACAGAACATACCTATTTATTTAATCTGCACCCCAATCTTTTTTTTTTCCTGCAGCACTGGTGCACCACATTTTATGTGGGAATCAATGACCACCTCCAGTTTGTTAACAAAGAAATTGTTCCTTAGAAAGTTTAAGGAGCTTGTGCTGTGATCATCACCCAAGTCTAACAACATCTGTAGGACCTTCAGAATTATTCCATGTGAATTGAAGGAACCAATATTCATGTATTTGTTGGCCTTTGACTTTGGATTTAGAGACATTTCCCCTGACTTCGATTTGAGACACTTCACATGTTTATTAGTTTGTTCAGTCATTTTCCTGCTCATTCGCTCATCTATCTGTTCATCCATTTAACAAACACGTGCTGCATACTTATCACCACAGATACGTAAGGCCTGCTGTCTTTTCTCCTACCCAACCTCAGTGTGGTGGATTTGTCTACTGGTTGTCGTGGATGTACACACCCATCTGCAGGTCAGCAAGACAGAAAGCATCTGCCTTTGCATGGAAATGCAAAGAAATCCAGGGCTGCACATCCACAAGGGCCAGCACTCTGTTTTTGCTCTCTTCCAGGGAGGAACCCAAGCAGCATGAGATGCCTAGTCCAGGCCTGGGGTCAGTGAGTCCTTGCCATCCTTGCCTCTGGGTCCCTAGACAATGGGATGGGTCTGTTCGCTCAGAAGCTCCACTCCACAGGGACTTTGATGGTATATCAAGCAAGGGTCCTATTTAAGTCCTTGCAGGCTGACCTGACAACAGAAGAGAAGAACTCAGAACGTCAATATCAGGGTAAGGGAGTTCATCTGTATTAAGACCGTGGGGGTGTTTCCTGTGATCTGAGGAATGGTTCCTTTATCGGGTGTGGTGGAAAGAATGGTGAACATCAATGATGATCATGATCAAAATCATTTATCCTAGTGGACTGTTTATCTGCTTCTTCTTCTACTAGTTGACAAGAGCAGACATTTATGAATCAGAAACTGCGTAACTTGACATTTCCATCTTTTTTAAAAATAATTTTTAGCCAAGGGGTGGGACATAAAGGATTGAACTCAGGGACACTTGACCACTGAGCCACATCTCCATCCCTATTTTGTATTTTATTTAGCGACAGGGTCTCATTGAGTTGCTTAGCACCTCGCTATTGCTGAGGCTGGCTTTGAACTCACAATTCTGCCTCAGCCTCCCCAGCCACTGGGATTACAGGTATGCACCACCACACCCAGATGATGACATTTCCATCTCATTAGAGTGCTTTGAAATAAACTGGTGTGACTGTTTTTTTCTTTTGCACCAGGAATGATTGAACCCAGGGCACTTACTCACTGACCCATATCCCCAGTTCTTCTCTTTTTTATATTTTATTCTGAGACAGGCTCTCCTTAAGTTGGTTAGGGCCTCACTTAGTTGCTGAGGATGTTTTTGAACTTGCAGTCTTTCTGCCTCAGCATGGGAGTCACTGGGATTACAGACTTGAGCCAGAACACCCAGCATGAGCATATTTTTAAACAGGAGATGCTGTTACTCTTCATGAATCATGAAGCAAGTACATGGAGAATCCAGGGTTTTAGCCACATTTTTTTTTCCTGCTTGCCCCTCTTCTTTCCTTGCTCTCTGTAAAATGTGACTACCATTCTGTTAGATTAAATCAGGGGTCACGCCACCCATTTGATCATCTGCATTCCTCCAGATGTTATTAAAACTTTGATGCCCAGGCTGCGGAGGGGATTCATAATGTACTTTGTTCAAGATGCACCAGATAATTATAAGAACCAGCTACGTTTGGGAACCCGGGTTTCAGGGGACCCCAGAGAACACAACCAGACCCAAGATTCCATACTTCTAGTATCCTTTTACCTGTCAGCTGGAAAGTCAGAAAAGGGGGGCTGGGCTCCAAGTGGAGAAGCTGAAATTGAGCCTAAAGCCATTCATTCTCAATTCTCCTCCCATGGGCCTGCCCATAAATCTCAGCCGTTTGGGAATGGAGCCAATGCAGATCAGAGGCATTTTCCCCTTGAAGCATCTAACGTCTAGATATGTCGAGTAAGTGGAGCAGCAAGACTGTACAAGCTCCGCTGGCTTGGATGGCGCAGCTCGTCCAGACTCACAGGACATTAATTAACAGCCTCGCTTCAGACTCTCTGTGCAGAAGACATTTTCCCTGATCTCTGGTATTTGGCCCACCTAGAGAGAGTTATTAGCATCCCCTTGCTCCTCCAGATCCACCCCTTGGTCCAGCCTCATCTTCCTAGACAGTTCTCTTAAAGCAAGACCACTTCTCTGGGATAAGCCAAGAGATAGCCAGCTCTGTCAATCACCC